GACTCTTTCCAGTGGTTCCCAGTGACAGGACGAGGGATAATGGGCACAAGCTGGACCATGGGAAGTTCCACTCAAATCTGAGGAAGAACTTGTTTGGGGTGAGGGTGGCAGAGCCCTGGCAGAGGCTGCCCAGGGAGGGTGTGGAGTCCCCTTCTCTGGAGATCTTCAAGCCCCGCCTGGACGCTCCTGAGTGATGTGCTCTGGGCAGCCCTGCTTTGGCAGGGAGTTGGACTGGATGATCTCTAGAAGGTCCCTTCCAACTCCAACAATTCTGTGGTTCCATGAAATAGGGGCTTGTGTGTGACACCACTACTCACCAGGACACGGGCTTGTTCTGGGGTGAGAACATCCCCTTCTTTGCAGACTTCGTAATCTGAGAGTAGTGTCACCACTCCTGCGGGAACAGAACAGGCTCACAAATATGGGATAAACCCCCCAAAAGGCAGGGTGCAGAGGTACAGCTCTCCCAAACACCGCCCGTGGGAGCTTATGCCTTGCCACGGAAATATGGGTACGGCCCAAAGAAGCTGGGTGAGATCAAGTCTAAAAGATCCCCACATCTGGTATCTGAACAGGACGCCAACGCACCAGGCCAGGCTGAGTTGTTTTGACTGAAAAAAGACGGTATTTTGTAGAAAGCTGGTTGTTTCACTCATCTTTTGACATCAGTTTGAGAGAATGGTGCAAGAATATAATGAGTTCTAACACTAACTGAACAAGTTGTCCATCAGGTCTCCAAAACTAAGTTCTACTTGATTATTTAATGTTCTCCTTAAAGACTCTTGTCTGCACAGATGAAGATTGAAGGTTACCTTCTTGGCCGCTTCACGTACCTTTCTTTAACGCCGTTGGCAATCCCAGCTGCCGTAACTGAGGCTCCATGGAGTGGGGGAACTGCTCCAAGGGCCCCGTGTCCAGGCTCACCCCGTAGGTCGCCTTGTTCCCTGCGCGGGCAAAGTCCACCTCTTTGAATTTGGAGAACCACCTGCGAGGGGAACAAGGAGGGCTTTGGCTGCGGAGGGAACATCCCTTGGCTGAGACGGGGATTACGGCACAGCCTGCCCTGACTTCTGTGGGGAAACACCTCCTGAGCATCACTGCTTGAAGGGAAACGTCAGCAAGTGGAGTGGTTGAGTGGAAAGTTGATGGTTGGACTGGATGGTCTTCAAAGTCATAGAATCATAGAATGGTTTGGGTTGGAAGGGACCTTAAAGATCATCCAGTTCCAACCCCCTGCCCTGGGCAGGGACACCTCCCACCACACCAGGTTGCTCCAAGCCCCCTCCAACCTGGCCTTGAACCCCTCCAGGGATGGGGCAGCCACAGCTTCTCTGGGCAACCTGGGCCAGGCTCTCACCACCCTCACACCAAAGAAGTTCTGCCTGAGATCTCATCCAAATCTCCCCTCTTCCAATTTAAAACCGTTCCCCCTTGTCCTGTCGCTGCACTCCCTGACAAAGAGTCCCTCCCCAGCTCTCCTGTAGCCCCTTCAGATACTGGAAGGGGCTCTAAGGTCTCCCCGGAGCCTTCTCTTCTCCAGGCTGAACAACCCCAGCTCTCTCAGCCTGTCCTCACAGCAGAGGGGCTCCAGCCCTCTCATCATCTTCATGGCCCTGCGCTGGACCCGTTCCCCCAGATCCCCATCCTTCCCATGTTGAGGACTCCAGAGCTGGACACAGAGCTCCAGGTGGGGTGTCATGAGTGCAGAGTAAAGGGGTACAATCACCTCCCATGACCTGCTGGCCACACTTCTCTTGATGCAGCCCAGGATGGGGTTGGCTTTCTGGGCTGCCAGTGCAGGTCCCTTCCAACCTAGACAATTCTATGATTCCACAAAAAAAAAAGGCTGCTCAACATTTCATAGAATCGTTAGGGTTGGGAGAGACCCTTAAGATTGAGTCCAACCGTTAGCCCAGCCCTGCCAAGTCTCCACTGACCCGTGTCCCTCAGCACCAGCTCTACTCATCTTTTAAATACCTCCAGGGATGGTGACTCCACCACTGCCCTGGGCAGCCTCTTCCAAATGCTGGACAAACCCTTTCAGTGAAGAGACTTTTTCCCAATCTCCAATCTGAACCTCCCCAGCACAACTTGAGGCCGTTTCCTCTTGTCCCATCACCCGTTCCCTGGGAGAAGAGACCCACCACGGCGGTGACAGACGCCTACTTACTCATCCACCTCCTCTCTGGTGCGGTTGGTGAAGAGGAGACCGACTTCACCTCGCAGGTGTTTGCTGACCTGAAAGAAAGAAGCCATGGGTGGGACTTGGGATGCACCTCCTGGGGTTCAGAGCTTTTGTGTCACAGAATCACAGAATCTTCTAGGTTCGAAGGGACCTTAAAGATCATCTTGTCCAACCCTCAACCTCACTTTGACAAAAATAAACACCCACACAACAAACAAGAAGCATGACCATCACTAAACCCTATCTCCCAGCACTACATCAACCCGTCTTTTGAACACCTCCAGGGATGGGGCCTCAACCACCTCCCTGGGCAGCCCATTCCAATGGCTGAGAACCCTTTCATGGATCCAGTTTAAAAAAACAGTGGAAAAGTGATGTGAGGAAGCTCTATTGTCCCTCAAGGTTTTATTCCATGAAGATTAAGGACACACATTCCCCTACCTTGTGCAGATTCTCCTTGTACTCGCTGCTCGGCTCCCGTCCCAGTGCCACCATCATGACTTTGTTCTTCCCAAAGAAGATCCTGAGGAGGAAGAGGAGAAGGAGGAAGAGGAGATGGCGACTCTCTGCTTCGGGGGGCACTCAACCCTCTGCCACGCCAGCCCCCACCGCCTCACCTGCTGTGCTTCCAGGCGTTCCTCACGTCCTTCAGCTTGTTGTTCCTCATGTTGGCGACGGAGAAGACGAAGATGTACTTGTAGGTGTCCACGCATCGCCGCAGCTGGAAGGACAGCGGTTAGAGGGGGGAACGGGGACCGCCGCGGGGCCTGCCCGGGCCGGGCCGCACTCACCTCAGTGATCAGCGCCTGCTTGGCCTCCAACCCCTTCCTGGGCGTCCGCGTCAGGGAAACTGCGGGGAGCGGAGAGGAGAGGCGGCGTTAAGGCGGGGATGGGCGCCGGGGGAAGGGAAGGGGAGGGAGACAGGGCTCGGGGCGCTGGGCTCACCCTTGCGGTCCCGCTTGGACTTCGGCATGGCGCCGCCGTGCTTCGAGGCCCCCCGCCGGCCGCCGCGCGGGCTGCTGGGAAGGCCGGCGGGCTGCCCCGCGCCGCGCCTGTCTCCACCCGAGGCCGTTCAGGCGGGTTTTCCGCGCAGGCGGCGGCGCGGGCGGCCCCGCGGCGTTAAGGACCCCTATCCCCCCCCTCAGCGGCCGGCCGACCATGGCGGCGGGGTTGTGGGCGCTGCTGCTGCTCCTGCCCGCGGCGGCTGCTGTCTACGAGGACCAAGTGGGCAAGTTCGACTGGTGAGCGCTGGGGGAAAGCCGAGGGGTCCCCGCCGCGCCACGGTCCTCCTCCTACGAGCAGCCCCCGGGCCCGCCGTGCTGCTTTCTCCGGCAGCCGCCCGTCGGGCCTTCCCCCTCCCGCCCCCTTGTCCCGCCTCACCCCAGCCCGCCTTTGCTTTCCTAGGAGGCAGCAGTACGTGGGGAAGCTCAAGTTCGCCTCCTTGGAGGCTTCGCAGGGTTCCAAGAAGCTCATAGTAGCCACCGAGAAGAATGTGGTGGCCGCCCTGAACTCCAGGAGTGGGGAAATCCGTGAGTGAAGCGGTGTTTTGCTGTGGGGAATAGGCCTGTTGTGCCGGGGCTGGCGTGTCAATCGAGTTGTGCTCTGTTTTTATGCTGGTAAATGAATGCTGGTGATACTGCCTTGTCAGACTGAGAGGATTCGGCCAGCAGTTCAAAAGCCCTTGCTTAAAGCAGGCAGAGTGTTCTCTGTGTAAGCTTATTGCTGTGAAGAGCTTAGGTTTAAAATTAATAACAAATGAATGCCTTTGGGGGAACAAATCTTGTTCTCACGTGATTCTGTTTCCTTCAGTGTGGCGCCATGTAGACAAGGGAACCCCCGAAGGAGCGATAGATGCCATGCTGATCCACGGGCAGGGTAAGGAGAACACACAGATGATGTGCTGGGGCCAGCAGTTCTCCTTGTGTGTGGGATCTCAACCACGTCTTAGAACACAAGTTGAACTTCCCAGAACTCATTGCCTTGTTGATCTGTGGTGAGCTACAAGTTCTATAGTCATCTTCCTTTCTTCATTTCCTGGGCAGATGCCATCACTGTATCCAATGCTGGACGTATTCTGCGGTCCTGGGAGACCAACATCGGGGGGTTGAACTGGGAGATGTCACTAGACACTGGCAGGTAGGCTTTTGTGTTTGTACTGTCTCTTTCCCTTTGTAGTCCTGGTGTAGGAAGGAAGAAAGGGGTTGTTGACCTTGTTTGACCTTGCATTATAGGGAAAAATTAGTTAGATGTAAAGCTTCTGGAATAACATTTGGCCAAATTCCTTAGAAATGCCTGAACCTTGCAGTTAAATCTAACGCTGTTTCTATGTCTTAATGCACCAGTAAAAGGGAGAGATATAAATGTTTTTCATAGATGGATTTTCTCTTTAAATTGTACATTGGGTTTTAGATTTATTTTATATTATGTTTAAGTTGTGTATTTATGTTGTGGTTCACGTGTTCAACCTGCATCTGGTTTGGGGTGTTTGGTTCCAGCCTACTGCTCTCTGTTGAGATCAGTGAAGATAGATAAAGGGGGCTATAAATTATATTTCAACACTAACGTTAGGTGTTTAAATAAGGTTTTCAAACAGCATGGGCGTTTTTCCTAGCAGAAAATGTTTTTTCTAACTTATTATCACTATCCTGTGCTCAGTTTCCAGGTGGCTAGTTTGGTGGGGCTACAGGACGCGGTCAAATACGTGGCAGTCCTGAAGAAGGCAGCCATCTCTCTTCACTACCTTTCCAACGGGCACCAGAAATGGGTGGAACACTTACCAGAAAGGCAAGAAAATATTTTAAAGTAGAAATGTAAACCTCTGCTAGAGAGGGAGCCTGTTGCCTTGGAGGGGAAAGGATGCTGTACTCGCATTATGCTTTTGAAAACATCTGGAAAGTGAGAAGATGATGCTTCATGGTCGCTGCTTCTCTTGCAGTGAGAATACTCAGTACCAGTTGTTGTATTCCCATGGGACTGGAGTGATCCACGTGCTTGGAATTGTTCCCCAGAGCCACTTGAACATTTTAACCTACAGCGTAGAAGATGGAGAAATTACGAAACAGGTAGAGCTTGATTACGGATCCAAAATACTGAATTTGATATTAACAATTGTACTTCAGACTAGATGGGCTGTGGTGTGTTGTGCAGAGTAATTAATTGTTGTTGTAGCACAGTGAATCTTTCCTTTCACTGTGGCCTTGCCTACAGGCCAAGAAATTGATACCACTGCTGGATGCCCTGAAAGAAAACTGAATTAGACTCGCAGTTGTTGGTCCACATCATCCTGGAAATCTCAGGCTGATAGATAGTTTCTCCCACAAGAATCTTCCCTTTCACTGTGGCATTGCCTACAGGCCAATAAATTGATACCACTGCTGGATGCCCTGAAAGCAAAACTGAATTAGACTCGCAGTTGTTGGTCCACATCATCCTGGAAATCTCAGGCTGATAGATAGTTTCTCCCAAGGTCATTGGGGGAGATTATTCTGACTTAAATTCTTGGTTATGTCTTGGTTCTTTGAAGTTTTTGTTCTGTTGACAACTTCATCCCTTTGTCTCGCTTGGCAGACGAGGGTGGCAGCCCCGTGGCTGAGGAGCTTGAGCGGCGCGTGTGGCGTGGTGGGGGAGGCAGTGCTGGTGTGTGTGGACATGGACACACACTCACTCTACGTTTGCTCCTTGGAGAAGGAGCAGGAGATGAAGCAGATCCCGCTGCAGGTGAGAAATGCTGGAAGAGCATTGTATGTAATTCATTGTCCAGTGAGTTTGGTGCCTGACTGAGCCTGGGAGCACAGGGGTTCTCCTGTCAGTAAAATACAGAATGTTTGAGTTGGGGCATGTTCCATAATTTGAGGTAAGAGAGAGAAAACTTTGTGTTTGTCTAATCATTCCTTCTGGATTGATGTCTTCAGAGCTTTGCTCCAATGGGAGCTTAAGCCTCGCTTCTGCTTTGTTTATCTTGACATGGGGAACCCCTTCGTGAAGCTTATTTTGCTGCTGCTAAAAGGCAGGTATTAAAAGAAGTTCTCACGAACACATACACTTGTCTCCTGTCACAGTCACTTGAGCTGGAGTTTGCTGAGGGCTTCCAGCCCAGGATATTGGCCACTCAACCCAGTGTAACCGGTGCTTCACGGACTCAGTTCTTCTTGCAGCTCTCTCCGAGCCACTTCTCTCTGCTGCAGTACAAACACGGGCTGCTCAGCCACCTCCGGGACTTCCAGCAGGTAACCAAGAGCAATGCACTTCAGCAAGAGGGCCAACTACACCTTAAAATTCTTTAAAACAGACAAACACCTCTGTAATTAATTGTTCTGAATGCGCTGCTGAGCTTCTCGTTTCAATTATGCTCTTGCTGCAAGGCTTGAAAACCATTTAATTTCATTTATACTGACTTCTGAAATGTTTTCAGACGTGACTGTAGGTACACTTTGTTGCCAAGAGCTGTCACACTGGGGCAGTTCCCTGGTTTTGAGGTGGATGGAGGGACGCGCACGTCTAAGTGCAGCAGGACTTTTGTTAGGCCAGCTGAGAGGCTTTGAAAAGCAAACGAGCCTTGAAAAGCTCAGTAGCACTGAACAGAATGGTTCAAAAGCCTGTGGCAGGTCAACAATGAGAAATATTTTCAGTCGTATAAGAGAGAATTTTTTTTTTCCTTGGTGAAACAATGGAATTTAAAATTTGGCTGTGAAAGATCATCTGTTTTTAATTCCACTGTGGCTTAATTTGCTGCAGAGGTGGGGTTGTAGTGGGGTTTTGAGATGTTCTTGCTTGTTTTATGATTTCCTGCTAGTTTTTTTTTTCTTTTTAGGCAGCTCTGGTGAGTTTTGCGACAACTGGGGAGAAGACTGTGGCTGCTGTCCTGACCTGCAGGAGTGAACTGGTGAGAGCAATTTGCCTGTACTATGTGACCAGCACGACACTGTGGGTGTGCACTGGGGGTGGGTTCCACGAGTGTTTTCCTTCACAGCCCAGGGATGGGTAGTAACTTTGGGAAGAGGAAGATTTAATTAGCTTGTTAGACATATGAAGACAATGGTAATGCAACCAGGTCTGGATGATGCCCATCTAAGGCTGCCTCTGGCTTGGTGAAGTGTAGTATCCTGTTTCAGCCTTGTGTGTTGTGGGCACCTAACCTGGGAATCTGCTTTTCTGAGCTGTTCAGCTCTCAGGGATACCAGACTTTTGCAAGGTTTAATTTTTATCAGGAATAGAATAGAATAGAATAGAACTCTTTCCTGCCTGTTTTTGGAGTCAAGCTGAGGCTTGTCAAGGCACTCAAAAATGTAATATTTTTTTTTAATACTCTTTAACACTGGGGTCTTCTCATCCTCATTTCAGAAACCAGGAGGTTCTGATGGCCTTCATGCTGGGAGTGCTCTGGAGGATTCCCAGAAGCAGGTATGAAGTGCAATTGTTCCCAAAACCAGTAGAAGTTGTTGACAGTCCATTTTATTCCTTTGGGTGCAGGAAGCAGAATGAAAAAGGGGTTATGCCATCTTTTTGGAGACTGCTGCTTTGCAGCAGCTCTGTATATATAATCTAACAATATCTTGAAGCCACAGTTGGTGCTGAATATGAAACCCTTCTACAGAATGGGGCATGTTTGTTGAACTTGGCTGTTATCCCCCTCTTGTTATAGGAATCCTTAACCTGCTCCAATCAAACCTACAACATTAATCTCTACCTGGTTGAAACTGGACAGAGATTGCTGGACACCACAATTACCTTTACCCTGGAGCAGAGCGGTGCCAAGCCGCAGCAGGTGAGCAGTGAGAGATTATCTCCGTCCCGTGGTTTATCAGACTTGGAATGTTCTCCCTGCCCTGATTTGGCAGGATTGGTAGAGCCCTTCAGACAAGGTGAAAAATTCTGTGGCCACACCAGGCTACTACATAAAATCACACTCTTTGCTCTTGTTTCACCCACCAGTTCTGTTTCCTCCAAGGAGATGATGTGATCGTTAACCGCGTTGTTTTCCTTGCTCTTTTTCCCAGCTGTACATCCAAGTTTTCCTGAAGAAGGATGACTCCGTGGGCTATCGAGCCTTGGTGCAAACAGAAGACCACATGCTGATGTTCCTCCAGCAGCCAGGTAACTGGCACAAACAGCCAACCTGCCCCATTTTTAACAGTGCACACCTTGTCACCGTAGAACAAGCAAAAAACCTCTAAGTCCCAAATGATAATATTTTATCACTGCTTTCCTTTAAAACTAGCAAAAGGAATTTAATCATCCTGAGCTAAATCCCGTGAAATATTCACCCTCACAAGACATCTGCTCTGATAAAACAGTTCTGCAGGTCGTTTTGCAGACAGAGCCTTTAAATTTCGTGGGTTTTCTGCCAGTTTCAAAACTGTGGGATGAGAACTTAAGTCCTGTTGTAGATCTTCATCAAAATTTCTCCAGAAAAGATCCTCATGGCAAAAATCTTAATCTGCAGAAAGGGATGAAAGTCCAACTCAGTGACTCAAATTGTGTATCTCTTTACTTTAAATAGACTTAATGACTGTAACCCTTTTAAAACATCAGATTGCTTTTACTGTTCCTTTAGTTTTTTGTTTTTTTTTTTCAATTGTGGCTTTAGTTGCATAAAGTATTTTTCAGATTGCTTTTACTGTTCCTTTAGGTTTTTTTGTTTTTCTCAATTGTGGCTTTAGTTGCATAAAGTATTTTTCTTTTGTGAAATAGCTAATCATGTGATATTAGATAATTATATGTTATTTTGCATTTCATTAAGAGCAGTGATTTGCATTTGAAGGGTCCACTGGAAGATGCTTTTATACCGAGGGATGATTTTTCCTCCAAGGGTCTAGTCCCACATATTAAGTTGGTTTTCCAATATTCTACTCATTTTCCTTTCCAGGAAAAGTTGTTTGGAGCAGAGAGGAGTCGCTGGCAGAAGTGGTGAGCTTGGAGATGGTGGATCTGCCTCTGACAGGGGCCCAGGCTGAGCTGGAGGGAGAATTTGGAAAGAAAGCAGGTAAACCATAGATTTAACAGAATTACCCTTGTGAGTTTGTTTTTTCTTCCTGAATAGATGTATTCCTTTTTTTCTTTTTCTCCTTCACTGAGAGTTAGGATTCAAATTTCTACTGATGGCAATTAAAGTGAGCAAAAATAAAACCATTTCTGTCTAAAATTCTGAAGTCCAGTGCCAAACACAGATCCCATGAACATATTACATTGTTATGTTAAAAAAAAAAAAAAAAAAAGGCCAGCAGCAGTAGGAGGGATTTTGGCCACATGTCCTAAATGTTTCCCTGTGAATCTTTCTGGAAAACTCATTTGTGATAGCTTTTGTTTTTGCTTTTTTTTTGTTTGTTTTTTTTTTTCCTTGCTCTCCTGGATGCAGCCATTCAAGGTAACCTCCGACCGCATGCAGTGTTTTCTAATACTGACTTGTGCTTCCTAGCAGAACTCGATCTCTCTGCTTGCTTCCCTCAGTGGTGAAATATAGTTAAAGCCTGAAGTTTTGCTTATTTTGACAGCTAAATAGAAACCCTCTATGGGCAGAATTAAGTATTATTTTTTTTTACTTTAAGGGCTTCTCTTGCTCTGAGTAATGAGTGCAGAGGGAGATGGCAACTTTATAGGATGAGCTTTAGGTGGGCACTTGCTGTGAGTTTGCCAGTCAGAAAGAAGGAATGCAAAGAAAGAGATGATGTAACCTGCAGGAAGGTTTGCTTTCAGTTGATAAGGACGTATTTTGGAATGAGCTATAGCAGTGTGCAGTGGCAAAATGTTGGTAAATGCCAGAGTCTGTCTTAGAAGCGATAACTGTAACTCTGCTGTTCTGGAGCGGGAGGTAGAGGCAAAGAATTACCACAGGTTTGTGCATGGCAGCATTTCTTCTGCTGGCTGAGGCCGTAATTTCACTTATGGAGTGGGACATACCAATTTTTTCCCTCTTCTTATTGCTGTTGGTCTGTTTGCAGATGGTTTGCTGGGGATGTTTCTGAAGCGGCTGTCCTCCCAGCTCATCCTGCTGCAAGCCTGGACCGCCCACCTTTGGAAGATGTTCTATGATGCCAGGAAACCCCGGAGCCAGATTAAAAACGAGATTAACATTGATAATTTGGCCAGAGATGAATTCAACCTCCAGAAAATGATGGTGATGGTCACCGCTTCGGGAAAGGTGAGGAAGCCAGGGTAGGAATCTGTTTATAGACTGTAGCAAAGAGTCTTGGCTCTGAATTCCCACCTGTTTTTAGCCAGGCTTTGGGCAGAATGTTGTGAGAAGATGGGCAGAATGTTTTGTGGTGGCTTTGGAGAGAGGGAGTAAGACTATTCTGTCTTTGTCCTGTCCCAAGGAAAGACACGGTGCTTGAATGCAAGAGATGTGTTGATCTAAACTCTGGCTTTACTGTGTCTCTCTGTTCAGCTTTTTGGTATCGAAAGCAGTTCTGGCACCATCCTCTGGAAGCAGTATCTCAGGAATGTGAGACCAGGCTCCTCCTTCAAACTGATGGTGCAAAGAACAACAGCCCATTTCCCACACCCTCCACAATGCACCTTGCTTGTAAAGGACAAGGTGAGTCCCTTTCCTCTGTCCCTCTGCTGAACGTGCTTAGTGTGGAGATCTGCTCTTCAGAAGGGCAGAAGAGAATATCATTTTGGGTATCATGTGGTTGTGGGGACAGGAGAAGAGCGAGAGCTGAAGAGAAGCAGAAACACAATCCTAAAAAAATTAAGGATGCTCATTTTGAAGTCTTTCACTGAAATAAAAGAAATAATTTCGTCCAGTTTCTTTGGTTGTGTGAGATAAGGCATGTGTGGTCTCCGTTAGTGAGGCTACAATGGCTGACCTTTAGCTGGCTGCAGGATGTTGTGTACCCCATACGTGAGGGAGGAGCAGACATTATTACATGTGAGACTTCAGAGGATTTAGTTAAAGCCCTGAACAGTGCGTTATAACACGGTGTGGTTTTGTTATAGAAATGTGGGGTAGAGTATGTGTGTCCAAACCAAATATTTTGAGGATGGAATAGCTGAATCCAGGGTAGGTCAACACCAGCAGGTAATGGGTAGAAAACCAGCTCTTTTGTCTGTCTTAAAAATAAGGTTTGCATCTTCTTGTTTGTTTTTAGGAAACCAAAATGAGCTTTCTGTATGTCTTTAACCCCATCTTTGGGAAGAGAAGTCAAGTAGCTCCTCCTGTTTTGAAGCGCCCGATTCTTCAGACTTTGCTTTTGCCTATTATGGACCAAGACTACGCCAAAGTACTGCTCCTGATCGATGATGAGTACAAGGTAAATTGCTTTGCCTGGAGGTAGTTCTCTTCATGTTCTGGTTAATTACTCCCCTCCCTTTTGGAGCAAGATAAAAAAAAATGCTGTTGAGTCACATTTCACACAAAACTATGAGGTTGTTCTGGTAGGACAGACCTTATCCTGATAAACACATTTAAAATAACCTTTCTGTGTTATTATGGGGTTTTTTTGTGTGTATTTCTAAGTTGGTTTTTAACCTGTGTTTCAATTTTTCTTTTCCAGGTTACAGCTTTCCCAGCAACTAAAAATGTCCTTCGCCAGTTAGAAGAAATAGCCCATTCTATCTTTTTTTATCTCGTTGACGCTGAGCAGGGAAAACTCTCTGGATTCAGGTTGAAAAGGGTACGGAAGAGGCATTACAATCCAAGTGACGTCACTTTCCTAAATGTGCTCTGGATAAGGGTAGATCTTTTCTGGAATTTATGGAGTTTTGCTTGAAACAGAGACAGTTCAGCTCATGACTTCAACTAAACCTCAAAATGCACCCAAGAAAGTTAAAATTTAAAAGCAGAGAAAGCTCCCTGTGTCTTAGTGGTAGAGATGGTGTCATTTGAGGACAAAATAAAACCTACGTTGTGCTTTTTTTCTGGCAGGACCTGAGCACGGAGGAGAGCTGGGAGGTGGTCATTCCCACCGAGGTCCAAAAGATAGTGACTGTGAAAGGGAAGAGGTCCAATGAGCACGTGCACTCCCAGGGCCGTGTGATGGGAGACCGCAGTGTTCTCTACAAGGTGCCGTTTGAACTATTTATTGACTTTTTTGTTGATGTCTTGTCTCATGGGGAGATCTCAGCCCCCTTCCTAGGTGCTACGTTGAGATGAATGGCCCTGTGGTGCTATTTTTTCTGTATGTGCATCAGTGTCCATAACCCCCTGCAGAAGATGCTAATTTTGGTGTTGATCTCTTGTATAAGATGTTTTCATGCAGCAATTAAATCAGTTAAACATCTGATGATGGAGGAAAAATCTCCTCAATTTCTTCAGGTGATTTGTGCTAATAAGATACTTGGTTTATTATATGCCTAGTCCCAGAGGAAAGGTGAATAAATGAGGTGCCTGTGGGACTGAAGTGAGGGTTTCAGTTGTTATTTTTCTTTTTTCTCCAGTCCTTGAATCCAAACCTGCTTGCTGTGGTGACAGAGAGCACGGATACGCATCATGAGCGCACTTTCATTGGAATATACCTGATCGATGGAGTCACGGGCAGGATCATCCACTCCTCGGTACAGAAGAAAGCGAAGGGACCTGTCCATATGGTCCACTCAGAGAACTGGGTGGTGGTAAGAACTTACTCTTTATGTTTGGGAGGTAGGGGCAGTTGCTGAACCTGTAGGGAGAAGACTTTTTGACCGTTCTCTGTGATATCACAGAATGTTATGGGGTTGGAAGGGACCTCTGGAGATCACCCAGTCCAACCCCCGGCCAGAGCAGGGCCACCCAGAGCAGGTCCCACAGGAACGTGTCCAGGGGGGGTTTGAATGTCTCCAGAGAAGGAGACTCCCCCACCTCTCTGGGCAGCCTCTGCCAGCGCTCTGCCACCCTCACAGCAAACAAGTTTCTCCTCACATTTAGGTGGAACTTCTTATATTCAAATTTGTGCCCGTTCCCTCTTGTCCTGTCCCTGGGCACCACTGGAAAAAGCCTGGCCCCATCCTCCTGACACCCTCCCTTGAAGGATTTATAGGCCTTCTCTTGTCCAGACTGAACAGACCCAAGTCCCTCAGCCTTTCCTTGTCAAGAGAGATGCTCCAGGCCCCTCATCATCTTTGTAGACCTCTGCTGGACCCCCTCCAGCAGTTCCCTGTCCTTCTGGAACTGGGGAGCCCTGAACTGGGCCCAGTGCTCCAGCTGGGGCCTCCCCAGGGCAGAGCAGAGGGGGAAGATGACCTCCCTCCACCTGCTGGTCACACTCTTCTTGCCTTGTATTCCTAAAAATCCTTTCTCCTTCCAGTACCAGTACTGGAACACGAAGGCACGTCGGAACGAGTTCACCGTGCTGGAGCTGTACGAGGGGACGGAGCAGTACAACGCCACAGCCTACAGCTCCCTTGACCGCCCCATTTTACCTCAGGTCCTCCAGCAATCTTACATCTTCCCATCTGCTATCAGTGCCATGGAGGCCACCATCACCGAGCGCGGCATCACCAGCCGGCACTTGCTGGGTAAGTACACGCTGCTCTGTTCTGAGGGTGGTTTTGGTACCTGCATGAGCCAGATTGCATGTTGAAAACCAAGCAAAAGTGCAATTTCCTGCCAGAAATCCTGCCTGTGGGCTGCCCTGGACTCTTAGTGAGTTCAGGGATAAGCACCAGGAGAGCATTTTTGTTAATGTGATGGAATATGCTGTCAGAAATGGCCATTTTCATCATATCTGATGATACATCTGATGATGTTCCTGTGCAACATGCTGTGGGTGACCTGCTCTGGCAGGGGGTTGGACTGGTGATCTCCAGAGGTCCCTTCCAACCCCATAGCATTCTGTGATCATTTTAAGATGCCTTTCTTTTAAATGCACAGTTGGGCTTCCCTCCGGGGCCATCCTCTCCCTTCCAAAGGCTCTGCTGGATCCTCGTCGCCCAGAGATCCCTACGGAACAAAGCAGGTGAGGAAAGCGTGATAACTGCTGTTCCTGGGCAGCTTGGAAGAGGGATGGATTTTGTGTCTAATACGATGGTGTGAAGAAGAACAACTTGTCCTGGACAGATTGAGGGCAATTCTTGCATGAAATTAAGCGAGGTTGTTTTGTTCCCAGCCTGTGACTATGGAATAAATTTGTCTGGGATGAAGCAGGTCTCACTGTTAGCGCAACCAGCCTGTTGTCTGCACTCTAAGCAGCAGTAGTCTGAGGAACTCTCTGAAGTTTTTAGAATGACACCTATTTTTCAAACGTCAGGAGGCTGCTGCGGTGTAGTCTGACCCAGCTGATATATTTGATTTTCATCCTGCAGCAAAAATGAATCTGCTCTGGGAAAAGCTGCTAAATTTGCTGGTTGAGGTCAGCTTGTGATGATCAAACTAGGAAATGCAGGTGATGTCCTCCATGTGCTGTTTGATTGGGTTTTGATTACTCTTTAAATGCCTTTCAGGGAAGAGAACCTGATCCCCTACTCCCCTGATGTGCAGATCCACGCCGAGAGGTTTATCAACTACAATCAAACCATATCCCGGATGAGAGGGATTTATACGGCCCCCTCTGGCCTGGAGTCTACTTGTTTGGTGAGTACAGGCGGAGGATTCAACGTGGGGCCTTGGCGTTTGTGGGCAGAGCAGCGTGAAACCGTAGCCTGTGGCAGGGAGGTCTGAAACCTCCCATCAATATTTCTTCTTTTAATCAGAGTTATAGACCCAAGTCAATCATTTTTGACACGGTTTCCTGCTGGAAGCTGCGTTACCAGCTTGTGATCTTGTCTTTTTAGGTTGTTGCCTACGGCCTGGATATCTACCAGACCCGGGTGTACCCCTCGAAGCAGTTTGATGTCCTCAAGGACGACTACGACTACGTGCTGATCAGCAGTGTCCTCTTCGGGCTGGTTTTTGCCACCATGATCACGAAGAGACTGGCCCAGGTGAAGCTGCTGAACCGTGCCTGGCGGTAAAGCTGCAGGTGAGGGGAAGGCCAAGGCTGGAGAAGGTACCTGAGGTTCTACCACCCCCACCTTGCTGCTGGGTTCCGTTAGAAATTCCAGCTTGCGTGACTGATGGATGCAAACATGGATATTGGTTTTTTGCTGGAAGATATTTGGGAGGAAAAGCTGCTACTGCAACAAAACGATGTGCTGCCTACGTGTCTCTCAGCAAGAAGGAGTGGAAGAGAGATGGAAAAGAGACTTCAGTCTGTTATGACTAAATAATAACTCTCCCAAACTTCCGTTAAAGCCCTAAAATCTGCAATCGTATCATCTCCCCTGTGTTATTGAAGATAATACTAAGGACAGGTGTCCTCTCACTCCTCACCTCTTCCTCAGCACCAGCCCTGACTGAAATCTCGGTGAGAGGAGGACAGAGGGGCTGTTGGCTGCTGGGAACACTGGTGGGGGTGGTGTGCGGGGCCTGAGGAGACTTTGGGTGATTCCATTGGGAAGAAGGTTAGAAACTGGGTGGATGTTGGTGGGAAGCTGCCTCGTCCAGTCCTATGGGCGGAATTTGAATGTCAAACCTCTCCATTTTCTTTATTTATTATGACAGCGTTGGCTCCTTCCCATATTTTTTTTAGAAGGTTAGAAACTGGGTGGACATTGGTGGGAAGCTGCCTCATCCGGTCCCATGGGCGGAATTTGAATGTCAAACCTCTCCATTTTCTTTATTTATTATGACAGCGTTGGCTCCTTCCCCTTTTTTATTTTTTTTAAATTTTCCTGTCTTTGGTGTCCAACACTGGGGTTCAGGCGCGGAGGCCATCTCCCCTTTCCCCTCAGGATAAATGGATTTAAACTCTCGGAGTGGAGTTTGGCAGCGCACTGTGGCCCCTGGGAGAGGCCGTGAGGGCAGAACGCCTCAATAAAAGCCGGGTGCTGAGGAGCAGTAAGTGGTTTTGTGTCTTTGTGGGGGGTTTTTTTGGGGAGCATTTTAAACCTTGACCACAGGAGGCGCCATTGCGCATGCGCCGTGTCCCCCTTGCCCCCCCCGCGCATGCGCCGCCCGCAAAGTTGCTGACTCATGTACTGCGCAGGCGCCTGGGCCGGGCCCTCCTCCTCCAATGGGGAACCGCGCCTCGCGCGTGGGCAGTGTGTCACTTCCTGTCTCGCGGCGCGTGTGCCGCGGGGGGGAGGTGCTTCCGGCCCGCCATCCCCCGCCGCCGCCGCCTCCCCCCCCGCCTCC